GTCGCCACCACGCAGCCGGCGGGTCACCCGTCAGCCACGCAGGTCCACGATCCGCGACTCTCTTACGGTCTGAGGACTTTTTGTCCGCGGTGGCAACACCTGAGTGGGTCACAGCGAAGCATCTCCACTCGCCAGGAGGCTCCAACGGTGCCTCGAGTGCGCCTGTTGCCATGAGACCGCAATTCCCCCGGGGCATCACGGCGGCAGCCTTTTACGCAAGCAGAACCGCACAGCTACCGCCGGGCCAAATTTAGCAACTTCAGGCTATGGAGCACCCTCCGGTAAGGCGAAGCACCCGGTAACCTTCCCATAACTGCTGCTCACAGGCTGTGCAAAGAGGGCTCTTGCCCCTGGAGACGTGCACACCCAGTTACAATGGAAGCAGGAGGGGAAATACCAGTCCTCCCGTTCCGGGCAGGGGCAGGTACGGGTGGCAGCTCTGTTTTTTGCCATGAGGAACGCAGCCCCGTGCAGACACCCTCCCTGCAAACGCTCCTTTTGTGCTTCCCTCGAAGCTACGCCTCCAACGCCCTCAGCCCTGCGCCGCTGCAGCTCACCTTCGCTCGGCTGCTGCCGGCGGGGCGAACGCGTTCGACACCCAACCTATTAACAGGGCTCATTTCAGTCGCTGCTTTCTAAATATAAAAGCAGAGTCTTCCTCTCGCGCGTCGGCCGTACGATACCTGCAGCACAGACACTAAACGGTACTCGGAGATACCGGCGGTGCGCAGGGTCAGCCCTTCCGCACTGACCACGCGTTTTTTGTTTTTTTTTTTTTTTAGCGAGAAAGGTTTGCTTGAAAATGGGAAGAATATTTATTTTAGCGACCATCTGAAAGGGAAACCACAGAGCATCTGAAATGCAAACTCAAACCACCGCTCCCGCTCCTCTGCATGTCAGAGAGGGCTGAGGCAAGATCAATTTAAACAATTCCCTCTGAACAGCAGCTTTGACATTTGGCTTCTTCTGTTGATTTATCGCTCTGTCCATCTGCCTTTTCAGGGCAGGAATTGTTTCTGCTCGTAGCACAGCAGGGGCCTGATCCAGGTCAGGCACTCTCAGCCCAACCGCGCAAATACAACAACGCGTGTCAAAAGCTGCGCTAATAAGACTTCACCTTATTTCCAGCCATCCTCAGAGCGGCTCAACCTGGCTCCGCAACACCGCCGGGCAGGGCGAAGGGAGATACCCCGGCTGCCTTCTGCCCAGAGCCACGTCAGCGGCAGGAATCCCCCCGGAGCTCGGAGAGATACGGGTCTGAATGCGGCCTTAATGATTAATTCAAGTGCAGAACAGCCTTGCGGCTCCCCGTGCCGCAGAACTCGGTTGTGCTACACCTCACCTCACCCCAACGCCTCCTCCCTGAACACACAGACGCCCGCCCAGCCAACACCCGCTTTATACGGGTCATTTTGGGCTTTTTTTCCGCCAGGCTGCAGGCACACACGCACGCACCTTGGCACAGATCGCAGCTTGCGTCTCTCCCTAATTTAATTTACTCAGCAGAGCTCAGCTGGAGTCCTTTACCCAATTTTACAGCTGGGCTGGCGGAGGGACAGAGGTCAAGCGGCTTTGCCCGAGGTTCACGTGATGAGCGACTTGGATCCTCCATCCTGCACGGTTTCTCCTCAAACTAACTCAATTCCTTCTGCCGGATCCGTTCGGAAACACGCCTGCCTGTCTCGACTGCTCTGTCCTGGGATCCCACGCAGGATGGAGAGCGCATCTGCCCCCACCAGACGGACCGGGACTTAAGAAAGGACATTTAAGAAGAGTGCAAGGAAGAAGAAGGGGAAGCAGATAAACCCACAACTGCTGGAGATGAAATAACGCCGAATCCTCGGTTGGGACCCAGCCATTAGGAGAGATGCTCTGGGCTCGGTCGAGCAGCGCCTGCAAGACGCTGTCTGCTGTTTGCACAAGCACGCTGAGGGTTTGGGGTCAGTTTTCCTTGGGGCTGAGACACAAACGATCTCAGAGACGGACCACGGTGGAAGGCGGCTGGAAGCGCGCCGGGCGGCTCCGCCACCGGGAAGCAAGGGCGATCCGCAGCACGGGGCACGCAGCGGCGATCTCCGCAGCGAGAAACCTCAAACCCTGACTCACACCCACCGCGGCACGCGCCGCTCGAGTTGAACTTACCCACACCACGCACAAAGGCGTGGGTTTCGGGGTTTTTTTTTCCCCCTCTGATGTGCTACTTTCCCTGTCAGTGGATAGCAAAACATTCAGGAAATTAAGGGTTATCAGGATTCCCTAGTTCAGGTTACCCGATCATCTCCAGCCCAGAGGAGCAAATCCACTGCAAATAGGAAGCCAAAGCAGCTACTGCTACGTCTGCCGCTCAAACAGGACGGATCTCAGAGCCCGAGATATCTGCCAGGCACAGCCCCAGCATTAGAGTCTCCTTCTTCACCCTCCCCTCCCTGCTAACATCAGCACGCTGTCTATCGGGAGACGGTGAAGAACTCTAGGAAGCCTCACGGGTTATAAGGACATCCGATGGGCAGCCCCGACAGGCACAAGTTACACCAGTCCAAGCTTTGCTACTTAAATATCCTATTTCAGTTGAACAAACCTGCTTTGAAACCAGGTTGTCCTTTGGTAGAAAGCCAGCTGGGGAGGCAAACCAGCAAGAGGGTTTAACTATCGCATCCTGCCTTGTGCCGTAGGATTTAAAAACACACTCGTTATTCTCTGGGTCACAAAGGGAGATGGAAAAACAAACCAACAACAAAAAACAACAAAAAAAATACGTGTGAAGGTACGATTTACACCTCAGCTCAACGGCAGCTGCATCACTTTCGGGAAAAGGAAAGTGAATCTCTTTCTGCGGAGTCACCGCTTATCGACTGCGCGGACCCGGCATCCTGCTGGGCAGCTCCTCCACCGGCATTTGCCGAAGGAGGTTCCCGGTGGCCGCGTTCCAGGCAAGGCACTCGCCTCCCCGCTCACGGAACCGCGCGTCCTGCTTCACCCGCTGCCGGCTGGGCTTATTGGAGCAATGCTGCGGGACTGGACTTGAGCCTTTACCCTTTCCGAACATGACGCAAGTGTTTTATGGGTGATAACGTAAGTCAAAGGGCGAGGAATTACTTATACGGAACCAGACACGTTAGCCAAAAGAATGACATTTTCCATACCGGGGAGAGATTTTTTTTTTTTTTTTTTTACAGATGTTGTAACTGTACGGAGGGGGAGACAAGAAACTAAACAACAAAACCGCACTGTAAACAGTGATAATATTGAATCAGTATCAGTATTGACTCAGTAGACAAAGCCACTAACAAAGTAAGAAATGATATTCGTAAAAACAAACTTGGGTTTGGGCTACAGCTCCCTCAGCTACTGAGAAGGTAAATCCCTCTTCCACTGCAGCTTTTCCCAAGGACGGGAGGTGCCGGGAGCTCCACCAAACAGCAGGTCAGGGCGCACGGGCACCCGGAGCCCTGCCCCGCCGCTTGCTCTAGCGTCCTCAGGTAAGTCTAGAAGTCATCTAGAAACATTTTTGTCAGTATTTTTATAGCACACGCTGAATTTAAGCGGGGGACAGCCTTCCACCGGCTTTGGGAGAGAGCTTCCCGGCGGCAAAGTTCAACGCAAGTGCGGGCACAAGAAAAAGTCCAGCCTGAACAACTGAATTTGCTGAAAGGCTTCAGCACGCAGCTCCCGCCACCGCCACCGCGCACGCCTCGGAGGCCACACGCAGATTTCAGACACAGACAGCTTTTGACACAGACTTGCACGTCTGCCAAATATCTACTTCAGTCCCTCAGTGCGATAGCAGCATTTTAGTTCCTTGTCAAACGTTTCTCCTCGCCTGAAGTGAGCACTCTCCGTGCGGTTCCTTACGAATATTTCTTTCCCAAAAGCAACCGTGTTTGCGTAGGCAAGAAGAACAATTTCTCAGTAATAGATTCCATCGGCCAAGACGGCAAGCGTTCCTGATGTTAGGCCTTTCGGAATATCGTCTTAAAGCACTTATTCAAACAAATAAAGACGTTCATTAAAAAAAAGACCTGATTACACTTGCTGGGAACATCCCGCACAGTGATGCCTGGCTTAAAACGGGGGAAGCAACGCTGCGCAGGCTGATCTTTGATGTGTACTTATACCTTCAAAAGGATCCCTCTCTTCCAGTCCGCGTTTTAGCTAATGACAATTTGAAGATATCAAATACGAACGTTTGTTTCTAAAAGACACATACTACCGCAGCCCGAGCTCCCAACAGTTCCCCTTCCAGCACAGCCAACGTTTGTACCCGACCCAGTACGTCACCTGGCGAGTTCCTCACGTTATCTGCGTCTAAAGTGACTTTAGATCGGTCTTGTACAGACGCGGAGCCACAGTTTGTCAGAGACCCTGAGGGACACGCCGAAGCGGCGCGCGAACATCCCACCGCACGTGCGGGACGAGAGCTCCAACGCAGGCCCTGCCAAGCTGCCCACGGACGCGGGCTCCGAAAAACTGCACAGCGCGGGACTTTAGACTCCAGTTTCCAACACGCTGACCTCCCAGACGCTGAAGAGCAGTGCTTGGGCGGTACGGCAAACACGAGCACGTCGTTAACCCGACTGGGAAGCTGAAGTCTTACTCCAAACGTATCGGTCTTAATCCTTAACGCCTGGATCCGTCCCTACGTTTAACTTACCTGCTCTGCAGTTCAGCAAAGACCTGCTTCATCTTCTTAATGGAAGCATCCATTTCCTCCTTCACCACCACCCGGTACCGAGCCAGCGAAACGGTGCAGCGCTGGAGATCCTTCACTGATTTTTCAATATTAGAACCTACCAAGAGACAGAGTGAACTCAAACAGCCACGTCAATCACGCTGCGAAATCCTCCCAGCAGGGATGAATCTAAACATGGCTTTCCCTCTTATTTTAAAACTATTCACCGCTTGGGTTTAATTTTTTCTTTCCCTTCCCCATTACAACGGCACCAGGTTCCGCAGGGACAGTTTGAGAGATTTTTTTTTTGGGGAAAGTTTTCCCAGGGCTGGCAGAATTTCCTTCCGCGGGCAGGGATGTCCCTCCACCTTTTCAATTAGATGAGAGAAATCAAACGCATCTCTGAGTTGCTTTTGCGCTCGGGACCGGAAACAAGTGAAATGCGGTCTACTCCAACGACCAACACTCCATATCGCTAAATGATAGGAAGTGAGTGTTTGCCTGGGGAAGGGAATTATCTCGCAAACTAAAATTAAGGTTATTTCCTCAAGCTGAAAGGACTGGTTAGTGGCCGTGTCTGAGCTCGCCAGCGGGACACGCCACCTCGCCCCGGCTCTGCGGAGCAGTTGCCCCCTGCCAAGCTGCATTAACCACCGCTCGTTACAGCTTTCCCACGCAGCGAGGAGGCGAACTACCACCACCTCGTCTCCCTAAGTACGACAACCGCCGTCACCATCGGGGTCTCCGTCCCCACTTGTTATCCTAAGAACGCAGAAAAGAAGGGGGAGGAAAAAAATAAAAATAAAAATAAATCCAGTAGACGGAGGCTGTCACTTCTTGTAACAGGGCTGGGCCGAACTTCTGGCCTTTCGACAAATTCTCACAAAAGATGAGAAACAACCTAAAGGCTCTGTGACGGAGCACGCAGAAGAATGGGCTAAACGTATGCAGTGAGACCGGCTGCTTCCTCCCCGGCTTCTCTCACACATACGGGTTCGCTGCTCCGGGCACTACATCTAAACTGCTGTCAAGATTCCCGCTGCGCGTAGGGGAGAGGAGGAGAGGAGCGCAAGTTACTGGCCAGATAATAAGAAGCGTGTTAGCTCGCATTAAAATCAAAGTCCAGTACGCCTCACCGCTGCGTCTGTCAGGGACACGGCAGAAGAGGCGGTGAGAATTTGGCCAGCAGCAACCTGCTCCGACATGGGAGAGCGCGCAGCCCCTCAGGGCCTTACCCAGCTTCTTGTTTGCGGGTGAGAGCGGAGCATCTTCCAGCCGCGTGACGGAGAGGGAGGCGGGAGTTGAATTGCTGGTTGCTGATCTGGACAGAGACCTGCTAGCGCTCCTCTGCTCAGGCCGCTGTCTAAGAGACGAAGGGCTCTGGGAAGGATGCATGATGAGCGATTTTGTGTCAAAGTCTGCTATTCCATTCTCTAGTTCAGGCACTGCTGTAGAAAAGCACACTCGTTTAAAGGGGAACGCGAAGAGGGCAGCAGAACGCTGACCGCCTCTTTACCACAACAAGCAAAAAAAAAAAAACCACAAACCAAAAAACCCAAAAAACCAAACCAGAAGTCAAGGTGAGCTGCTCTTTCCTGAAGAGCCATCCAAACCAAGCGGTATTTAAAGCTGACCCAAAAACCGAGCAGGAGGCAGCTCCTCGGCTTTTTAAGCGCTCGGTGCCCATCTCCTGCGCTGCTTCACGGAGACTAACCTGTTCTATCAGGCATGTCTGGTGCAGCAGACTCGCAATCCTCCAGCTCTCTGGCATCAATTGAAAGTGCATCCAAACCTTCGCTGAGCGAGTCCACAGACTCCGTGTCGTGGGCACAGCCGTTGACATGGAAACCGTTAATTCCACCCTTCTCCGAGTTTGCCGACTGCTCCTCTTCAGTGGACACCAATTTACCGGGGTCTGGGAGGCCAGGGCTCGATTCAGCTTGCGGTTTCGGTTTGGTTTTCTTCTTCTTGTTCTAAGGATTAGGTATCCGCACCACAAAGGAGAAAAAAAACAAACATGTTAAGCTTAATTCCTGAAGGGAAAATTAAGCTTACGCTTACTGGCTGAAAGTAGCTGAATTAAGTGCTTTTTGAGCCAGCCCGGCTGTTGATCCTATTAACAGTAGGAGGGATTTATTCAACAATGAGGACAGATATAGTGGCATTAACGAGGCGCAAATACATTATCCTCTCGCATGGTGTGCCAACAAGAGCAACGGTTATCGGGTGAAGGCTGGATAACTGATGGGCAGCACCGAAGAGGTTTGCGGCTGTAACCCACCGCACCAGCCGGGTCGCTGCTGGGGGCGCTCACCGCCGCGGCGCCGCTTCCCGGGTGCTCTGCCAGACCCGGCGCGGCTAAAACGTCCCTCCTTTCCCAACATGGGGCCATTCAGCCACATTCTTCCCCCTCCTCTCCATTTCACGCTGGTGCTTTTCACGTATTCAAAGGAGCCCTTTTGAATAATTATGATTTTATTCTTGCCCCGGTGGATTTAGATATTATAATATCAAGTACTGAAACTTTGCAAATCTTTATTTAACCCTTTCGCAGAGGCCTGAGCAGAGAACCAGGCAAGACACTCGAGAAAGCCTATGTGACAAAGACATATATTTCCACAGAGCTCAGCATTAAAGGCAACTGTTCAGCTCCAAAGGTTAGCGATGAAAAATGGAACAGAGTGACTATCTGAACAGTGAATTACAGAGCTCCGTTGAAATAAATGGACCTGATAAAGATTTACTTCGGTGTGGGGCTGCGTGTGTGGATTTGGGGTCCTGCAGAGGGTCAGCAGAATAAGAGCGACTGCAAGGGCAGAAAGTCTAGAACCTTTTTTTCGCAGATGCTACATTCGACACGACGTGTCTGACAACCAAATTAAATGCAAATGTGGCGAGACGGTGTTATTTACAACTTGCACCGAAGTTACCGTGTAAATCATTGCCCCGACCAGCGAGGCACCCGCGAGCCCAGTGATTATCTCCGTGCACCAGCTCTGCTAACACCGACATACACCTCTGCTCTTCGGTTTCTTTTCCCGTGTAAATCGTGAGGAGTGTGTACCATTCTCTGTTGTCTAAACCCTCAAAATAAAAAGATAAATGCCTTAACAAAGCATTATTTAGAAAGCGTTACCTTCTTTTTGCCCGTTACAGTCCATTCTTTCAGCACTTCACTGGCATTGCCTGAAATGAAACGCAGGGATGAGCAGTGGACACGGCATCCACTCCAGTTCCTTCCCAGTCACGTGGAAGTGCCTCCATACTGGAGCCAGCTGAAACACCTCCTGCAGCTGAGTTGGTGTAATAAAAGGATCGGTTTCGTTTTTGCTTTGGGAACACACTGCTGAACGGGACTACTCCCTGACAAGGCAGTGCCAGCTCTTTCCAGGAAAAAATAAAGAAAAAATAAATAAATAAGCCTCTCTCTGGCTCTGTCATACTAAAGGTTTGGGTACTTGGAACCCTGCTGGAGCATGTTCTGACTCGAAGGTTGCGTTCAGGTCAGATATCTGCCGGCTTTCTCTCCGCAGAGACACTGAGTGTGTCAGGATGCCCCCAGCCTGAGCAGTAGCTGTCATACCTTCTGCAAGCCAGAGGCAAAGCGCGGCTCTCGGCGACGGCCGGCGCGGAAATAAGAGCTGCAGAGCGACAGGCACTGTCACCAGCAACAGCCTGGTTTTTTCCCAAGGTCAGAAAATCCATCTAACCCAACGCAGCATGCCAGCCAGACCCAAGAGAGGACCTGCGAGCCAGGTTTCAAAGTACACACAGCACCTATCGAAGCTGAAGACATTCCCATTTTGTACACACGAACGAGAGTTTCTGTAATCGAGTATCAAACCTCCTTTATCTAAAGAGCTATCAAACGCTTATCTCCGCCTTGACCCCTAGTTCAACAAACACCAACTCAAACTTGGGAAGAGACTCATCCGTTAGTTATCTTTACGGACAGAGCCCGGACTTGGATACGCTGAGAAGCCGCAGGAGCTTCTGCTGCCTGGCGTACCCGCTGCACGCAGCGCCTTCTGCTCAAAGGCTCCTGCCGCTGCTGAAGCAGGTCCATAAACACGGTGCATCCGCGTTACGAAGCCGCGAACCCCGCCACCGAACCAGCCGCGGTTACCTTCCATAAACGCTTGTACCGTTTTGTCCACGCAGTTGTCAAAATGCTGCAGCACGAGGACAATCTCATTGTTGCTCCTGTTGGGGACTATTGCACGCACCGCGCTGATCTAGAGGGAAGAAAAGAGGGGAACATGTAAACCACGGGCTTTGCCCCACGGGGAGCCCCCAGCAACCCTTCCGCAAGCAGTCTAAAAACCGTAACCGATGGCTTCCTTATAAAACTTTAATGTGCCAGGACAATTTAGCCTGAATAAAATTTTGCTTTTGACAGAGCTGCAGTCAGCTCCCGGACAGAAACATATTTCATCCCAGAGAGGAGATGAAGATACAGCGCTCCCGAGCTCTTCCCCGGCACGTGGCGAGCTAAAGTCTCAGAAGACACATTTACCTTCTCCTTCATGTTTTCAAAGGTTCCTCCTTGGGCCATCACAGTATTGGACTGCACATCAAAAATAAACCCAGACGGATCTGTGAAGACAAAGGAGAGGGAAGCTCTCTTCTGAACAGCGGGCACCCAGAGACATTTAGAAAGATACGAAGCAAGAGGTCAGCTCGGCGCTGCTCCTCTGCCAAGGAGAAAATTGAAATCCTACAAACGTACGGTGTTGGCTGGCTAATTCCATCATACGGCGGTGGGCAGAGGGTTAGCAGCTGCTGAGAGTACGACGGCTGCTATCCCAGCCTGGCGTAAGGGCCGGGTAACCCCAGCGGAACGTGGTTTGCCAGTGCCCCCCACCGACTTCAAGGAGCCGATTCACTCCTCAGCTCTGGGTCAGCTTCAACCAACCAACCAACCAACCAATCAACCGCGGATCAAAACCGCAAGCCCCAAAAACGCAAACCCCAAGAGGGCCGGTGCGAAAGAGAAGATCGCCGAAGCGGACCAGCCCAGTCCCGCTCCTTCCCTTCCACGTTAATCCTTCACCCGGCCCAGCAATAAAGAGTTAAGAAACGCGCTAGAGCCTTCGAGCAGCGTGGTTAACAACTTCCTCCACCTGGAGATACAAATGGCAAGCAGACTGATAAATGGGTTTGAAGATCCAGCAGCTTGTGTTCCCTGCCAGCTACGATCTCCAAGGTAATGCTTCGATGTTCCAAAAGAGACCCATAATTGAGACAGCCATCACCAACAGGTTTGCTCCCTGCCAGCGAGCAAAGGTCACATAAATCTGCAGGTCCCACCATCTCACCGAGAGATCCTTACGAGCGCCTGGCATCACAAATTCACCCTCCGTTTGCCTGCCAAAGGTCTGAGCGGGCTAAATTTCAGGTTTGCTAAGGAAAAGCTGTTCGTGGATGTGTTTTACTATGACAGAACGTACTTCAAATCAGTATTTTAGCCACATTCGGTCTCGGGAAGGACACGTGTCCTTTGGCAGAGGCTGACGGTGCGGCCCCAGAGGTTTGAAACGTTCCTGCTCTGCATCACCAGCCCCTTTCCGGGGAGGACCAGGGAGAATGGCTTTAAAATGGAAGAGGGCAGGTTTGGATTAAATATTAGAAAGAATTTGTTCACTTTAAGGGTGGCAAGGCACTGGCGCAGGTTGCCCCATCCCTGGAGGTGTTCAAGGCCAGGTTGGATGGGGCTCGGAGCAACCTGGGCTGGTGGGAGGTGGCCCTGCCCGGGGCAGGGGGGTTGGAAAGAGATGATCTTCAAGGTCTCTTCCAACCCAAACCATTCCATGATTCTATGAGTTCACAAAACCTCCGGCAGATCTCCAGACCCCCGAGGAGGGCACTGCTCGCGTGTGCCTCAAGCCCGGCACAGCGCCAGGGCAGCGCACGACACCGGTTCTTCTGCAGAACTTCTCAGGTGGGTTCGGGGACCACCCGGAGGAAGGGACACTTCCAGCAGGGTGCCCCGCGGGGACGCTCGCTCGGTCACTGCCCTTTCTGCTTTAGCTCAGCTGATATTCCGAGCTGCTGATTCATGTTCTTTCCCTCACCTCCTCTAAATAACTCGTACGCGATTTTGAGACACACCATTGACTTCTGCAGTTCCCAGACATTGATGTAGCATTTAAACTGAGATGCCTCCAAATACAGTGACAGAATTGTGAACATGATGGAAAGGTCAGCCTCTTATTAAGGCTACAGATGAACGGTTAAATTCTTCCTCGCGCCGTCCTTACCCGCTTCAGCCCCATGAGCAAGATTTTCTCAACTTTCCCAAGCTCACAGAAGTTCGAGCTACCAACTTTCTAGTCCTTAATCTTGTAAATGGCTTTCAGACTCTCGTCACCGAGTGAGAATTAGCAATCTTTTTTCAAAATCTTCATGGCAGAGCAGCCACCGAGGGCCCAGGTGCCAGGAAAGATGAAGTTCATCTCCCCCATGCAGCACATTTTCAGCTGCTCAATCCCATCCCTTTCCCACATCCCTGTTTGCGCTTGGTCTTACAGGGGACTGAGCTCGGCGGCACCTCGCTCCCTGCCGCTTCTCCAGCTTCCAGCCGCTTTCGCTACGACCCGAGTCCTCCTGGTGTTAAAGTGTTTATCATGCAAAAATTATGCAACGGAGACTACGCCGTATACATTTGATATTGCCCTTGAGCACTCCCGAGCATCATTAAAAGGGCTGCTGGCGCTCAGGTCTCTTGCGACGGTGGGTATTTGCGAGAAGGGACAGAATTTAAAATGCTCACGCCCGCGTGGACAGAAGTCTGGCGGCCACCAGCGACTTCAAGATTCTTGAATTAACAACCTCGTGGGAAAGGAAAGCTCCTTCCCAAAGCCAGGGCTCAGACTATGCATGTCATGTCAGACATGACGAGTCAGTCAGACGCTCGGACTGATCTCTGTTGCATTAAAACACACACCATGCAGCGCTACCCTGTTGATTTGATGCGATAAACCCCAGAGACGCCGCCGACGGCCTTAATTGCTTCTCTGTTCATAACTGCATCCTCCAGAAAAACGAGGTGGCAAGAAATCATTCATCCCAAATCATTTACTTTTGTGTTTCAGTGCTATTTATTGGACTAATAACACAGGATCTCTTAAACAGAACCACTAACGACGCCAGGAAGAATCCACTCTACCAAATATCAATCTGCTCCTCCCGGAACTCCGCTAATTAGTCCTTTCTGTACGAAACACGTGCAAGAATTAAAACTACAGACCTGACGAACGCCTGCTCTGCTTCCTGGGACACACGAAATAAAACAACTTCACACCCGACACCTCGACAGGGGCCACTATTTCTCCCCCTCAAGCCCCCGGGCCAAGCCAAGCCGAGTCCCGGCTGACGCCTGAGCCACGGCAAGCAGTCATTTCGTAAAGAGACACGGAAAAGAAATCAAAGCCTGACAGCCACACAGACTTCATCCCAGCCAGACTCACCGAGCACGCTGTCCCAAAGCCTACAGCGGGATTACACGTAGCTCCTCCGAGCCCAGCCGCCGCTCCATCCCCACCGCACCCACAGGCTGCCTCAGGGGAAGTTTGCACAGTAAAACAGTGTACGAAAATAAAATAATAATAAAAAAAAAATAAAATAATCCTCCTCCAAACATCAGGTTCCCCCTGATGTTCCAGGAGACCCGCAGGCGCACGGCTTTGGGGAACCGGCCAGCACACGCGCCTCAAGTGCTACGCAGTCGAGATTCAGTTAAACCCTGAAACATTTATAGACTGTGGCTTTTCAGGTCACCGGTAGCCGCGCCGGCTCTCCCAGGGATAGCGCGGGAGACCTGGGCTAATGTGAAATAAAAAGCTCTTAAAGAAATGGCACCTCGCTGCTCGCTCAGAGCAGCTCCAATTTGCTCTAATTACAAGCATCTTCAGCAGTCCCCGCGTCGCGAGGATCGGGAGACGGCCGTGCCCAGGACTGCAGAGGTGACTGGACAGGAATTAATGCATCTTCCCAGGACGGAGGAAAGAAGCCAGAATATCATTATTCTCTCGGTCTGTGCTTGCAGTCATACCAAAATACCTTAAAAAAATAAAACCCACCGCAATCGGGATTTCTGAAAAAGGTGCTACAGAAGGGATTGCGTCTGTGGGCGCTTTCGGTGGCTGCGCGGCTCCCCGGGCGTCGGGCACTGCCCTCGCCGCAAACGGACCCCCCCCACAGGCTGCGCTCCCCACCTCTCCTGGCGCGCTTCTCCTTACAAATTCCATCAACACATACCGCTATTTTTTCCCCCCTGTAAGAGCAGTTCTCGCTAACAGGCAACAGAGGCACCGATGCTAAGCTCTCTCCTCGTGAATTGGAGAGAAGTAAGGACTAAACTGGGATTCGAATCAATATTTCTGGGTTTGCTGCTGCCGAGACAACATTTCGTGGATATCAGGAAAAAAAACAACTACACAGAAACACCGACTTTTGCCACGATCCGAGGGGAAGGACGTCACAACCGCACACCACCCCCAGCCCTCCCTTCCCCAAAGCCCGTTAAGGTACGCGAACGGCTCTGCGGGGCCACTACGCCGCTCTCGCTCAATTTTTGTCGCTGGGCGCATTCGAAGTCGGGGTTTGGTACCTCAATCAGCTGTTGCGGAAACTATTTTAATGCCCCAAGGAGAGCCCTGTGATATTCGGGCAGCGCACAGCCGGCGCGCGGAGCCGGCAGCTGCACTTCAGAGTCTCCTCTCAACAAGAAACGCCACTTTCTTGCTTATTTTCTCAATCGGATTTCAAGGGGCCGAGCGAGCACGCCCCGCGGCCTCCTCGGTCCAAACTCGATGTAGGTTCACCAGGGTGTCATTTCAACAAAAAAAAAAAAAAAAAAAAAGAAAAATTTGCTGTGTTTTAGATAGAATAAGGCCACACCGGCAAGAGAGGGACTCACGATTTGAAGAATTCGTTCTGAGGTGAGCAAATTAAACCTTTCCAGATAGGGGATCTCGGAAGGATCTGCTGAGCTGGCTGGCAGCGGAAGAGTCACCCCTTGTATTAAGGCGGGTTACCCTCCAACGTAACGCCGTACTCATCCCAGGGCTTGGAAGAGTGGAAGAAAACAAGAAATTAAATATGGAATAAAAATTAACTTCTTGCAAACCAATTAAAATAAACCCGATGTTGTGCTGCTAAAACCGGGTCTTTCTGCCCGATGCAGAAAGCGGGTCTTTTTGCCCCAAAAGCAAAGGGGCTCATCCGGAGGCAGCTCTCCCGTCCCGCTTCCCAGGGGTGGGGGACCCACTTGGGGCACGGGTCTCGTGGTCCCCGCGGTGTCACCGGCCCGGTCCAGCCGCGGTGGGTGCGCTGCCGTTTGCCGGCCACGGCCTTCTGCTTCGGATGCAGGGGAGCGAAGGAAGGCAATCGGCTTCCAGCGGAGCTGAGGCAGCGAAGCCAGAGAGCCATTACGGTAATTCGAACTGCGGGGCGCTCTCTTCCCCCTCCCATCTAATTTCCAGCTACGCATAAAAAATGAAAAATTAAATTAAACCTGCGCATTTCCGGAGCGTGGCACCCCGCGGAGTGACGCAGCTGAAGTTCCCCTGAATTCCTGCCATCGCCTGCATCCCTGTACTGCACCCGAGCTCCCTCGCAAGCCGGGGTTTGATTTATCGGGTTACGGAACACAGGTTCAATATTCGCCTTTGTGCAATTTTCAACATAACTCACAGCAAGTGCTGCCCCGCAGAGTAACCCCCCGATCCCCCGGTTTGCCCATCCCGCCAGAAGTTAGCCAACGGCTCCCAACCACCCCAACCAGCACAGCCCGCCTCCGGCAGAGCGGCACCTTCCGCTGCACTGATGCGCCGTTAAACAAAATAGGAGCCGAAAATGACGTTTCTCTCACGTTTGGGGTTTTTGTGATGTGCAGACTCCCCGCCGCTTAACACCGCTCCCTTCCCAGCGGCTGATAGCAAAGACCTTTCGCCTTTACCAAATTCACGTCGGACAGTTTTCCCATCAACTGAAATGGCTCCTTGATGCATCCGCACGAGTAGGAACCCGAGCGCTGTTTTATTCAGGAACCCGGCACGCCTAAAACCGTGGCCGACGTCCGATGGAAACAAGATTTATGTGATTGCTTTGTATCCTGGGGTCACCAGTTATTCCTGAGCCTGGTGGCTGCTTTCACTCAAATCAATTAATCGAGTCAGAAGGGAGATGAGGGGGAGAGCACATGCTCCGCGCGGGGGAAAACCACAAGCACTAAGAATCCAAGATCACTTCAGAGAGCAGCAAACCACCAAACCTACTGGACTCTGGGGAAGGGTTTATTTAGAGATCCGCATCCCTGACACTGCCTTTCCTTCCAATTTCTAAATTATCCCTTACAGAATATACTAAAGCTGAAACGCGCCGTGCAGTATAACCCAGACGCGGACCGATGTGCGGATGCACGCGCTCGGACCTTGAATGGGGACGATTACGCCCCGGGGTTTAGAGATTGAGGGGGTTTCTCCTCAGCATAGATGTTTTGAGTGAAGACTCACTCACAGCCGGCAACGTTCAGGAGTAGAACACGATTCTGCGCCCAAACTTTGCTTATACGTTTTCGCAAGACTTAAAAATACCCTTCTGCGCAGCTCAGATGTTCGCTGCGTTCTGTGGCACTTCTAGGAAGGAACAGGGGGGCTTCCCATTCGGTTTCGGAAGGGCCCCGTTATTAAAAATCGGTCTGTCTCGTCCCCTCTCTCTCAACCCTTCTCAGCAGCCCTTTGTTACCCTGCAAAGGGGGTTTGTTTTGCTTTCAGGAAGAGAGAGGGAAACTGAGAAGACATTCCTCACCTGGCCAAGGTACAGTCCTTTACAGAGGACTGGAAAAAATATTTGTTGACCACATTAACATTCTAGAGCAGCAGAAAAGTAGTAATTGAAAATTCAATCACAGTCCAAACAGGACAGGGCACGGCCGGAGGAGTCTGCAGCTTTTAACTCTCCCCTTCCCTTCCGCCCACATCGCAGTGCAGCGCGGACCGGCCATCAGCCTGCTTAACAAAGCAGGGCGTATTTTATATCCCCGGTGGCACAGCGGATTAAAGCCTACTCTGCATTC